AAGCTGATTCTGAAATGTGGGTATAAAAGCAAAAAATAACCAAGACCCTTCTGATGAACAAAAGTACAGAACTTCTTATAAAGGTCTGTAATTATAAGTACATGATATTGGTTCAGGGATATGTTAAATAAACAAATGGAACAAAATAGAGAGCCAAGGAACAAACCCATACAGATGTGGACAGAGGTGACATCACAGATGCAGGAGGGGAAGATAAGAAAGGATGATTCAATACATGTATGGAGGCAAACACCTTTAAATCTTTAGGAGAAAGTATAAAAGAATATTTTATGACCCCAAGATAGAGATAGATTTCTTAAAGAAGACACAAAATCCATATGAAAAAAGTTTGATAAATTTGACTATATTTCAAATTTTCTGACACAAAGAAAGTGGGGAGGAGGAAGTTACAGACTTGGAGAAGGGTCTGCAACACATAATTAAAAGAAAAGATACCCAGAATATACACAGAACTCCTAAAGATCAACTAAGTAACAAAATAAAACACCCTCTATGAGAAAAAAAATGGGAATAAATTGAAAAAAATACATAAATGGCCAGCAAACATGTATTGGTTGACACATAAAATTAATTGAGACATAAAATTAATCAGGAGGTGAAGTTCTAAACAAACTTAAGTAACTGATAATTACAAAATTCAGTCTTGTGCTTATCTGTGGGGAGTAGACAAAGCATTGTGATAAGAAGTAGCCACAGAGGACCTCAAAGTCAATGGTCATGTTCTGTGTCTCAAAGTGGGTGCCGAGTATAAGGACATTTATTTTTATTAGTAGTATTTAAATTAATATATTAGTATATGGGTTCTATATATTAGTTTATTAAATATATATCATGTTTATTAAATATTTTTATTAAAATTTTTCTAAGATTGAGAGTATAAAGGGATAATAAGTTGGAAGTTTCTAGAAGTAAATAGATACATATACTCAGCCTGAAATAATACCTGACTTTGTAAACATGAAGTCAGGTAATACCATGACTTTGTAAACATGAAGTCATGTAAACATGACTTTGTAATACCTGACTTTGTAGGCATTGAAAGTAATTCATGGTCCAAAACATATCCCATTTCTATCTCAATATTTTTTCAACATCTGTTATCAACATGAACATAGAGTTTCACCAAGAAGAACTAAGTACAAACCGACATTGCAAATATGCAAATTAAAAATGCCATATTAAAATTACACTAAAATATTAATAGTGGTTGTGGTGGGGTAGTGGATTATGAGTGTTTATATTGTTGTTGTTCCATTTTCAACATTGTTTTAATCCTGTAGTAAAACAGACGTTAATAAATCATTGAATTTTAGAGCCTCCCCTCCACATTCATGCTAAAATATTTCCTTCCTTCCTTCCTTCCTTCCTTCCTTCCTTCCTTCCTTCCTTCCTTCCTTCCTTCCTTCCTTCCTTCCTTCCTTTCTTCCTTCCTTCCCTGTCTAAAACCTCTAGTATAACATTGAACAGAAGCGACGAGATCTGACATTCTTGTCTTTTGCTTGATCTTTCAGTCTTTTTACCATTAAAGATGATGTCAGGCTGTAGGCTTTTTGCAGATGCCCTTTATCAAGGATGTTCACTTCTACTCCTATATAGCTGAGAATTTTTATGAGGATTGCAACTTGGATTTGTAAAATGCTTTCCCTGCATCTCTTGGGATGATCTCATGGTTTTTCTTTTCAAGTTTGTTAATATGGTAAATTGCATTGATTGATTTTTGCCAATTTTTTATTGTGGTAAAACACATAAAATTTACCATCTTGACCATTTTTAAGTGAACAGTTCAGTGGTATTAAATATTCACAATTCTGTGCAACCATCACCACTATCCATCTCCAGAACTCTTTTACCTTGTAAAACTGAACTCTATAACCATTAAACAAAAACTCCCCATTTTCCCTACGCCCAGCCCTTGACAACCAACATTCTACTTTCTGTCTGTACAATCTTGAGTACTCTAAGTACCTCATGTATGTTGAATCATACATGTATTTGTCTTTTTGTGACTGGCTTATTTCACTTAGCATATTATCCTCAAGGTTGACATGTTATAGTATATGTCAGAATTTCCTTCTTCTTTAAGACTGAACAATATTCCATTGTGTGTGTGTACACACACATATATATGTATATATATATATACACACACCACATTTTGCTTACATGTTTATACATCAATGAACACTTGGGTTGCTTCCACATTTTAGCTATTGTGAATAATGCTGCCATGAGCATGGGTACACAAATATCTCTTTAAGACCTTGCTTTCAATTGTTTTGGTATAGTCTCAGAAGTGGAATTGTTGGATCATAGGGTTAATTCTATTTTTAATTTCTTGACGAACTGCCATTCTCTTTTCCACAGCAGCTGTACCATTTTACATCCCCATTAACAATGCACAAGTATTCCAATTTCTCTCCACCCTCACCCACATGTGCTATTTTCTCATTTTTTATAGTAGCCATTCTAATAAGATGGTATTTCGTAGTTACGATTTGCATTTCCCTAACGATTAGTAATGTTGAGCAACTTTTCATGTGCTTATGGTCATTTGTATATTTTCTTTGGAAAAATGTCTATTCAAGTCCTTTGCTCATTTTTAAGAAATGATTAAATATAAAATCATATAATTTTTCAGCTTTCCCTCTTACTACTTCCCATCCTACTCTCCAGCCATGCTCTATTCATTGCAGCTCTCAAATGTGTTATGCTGTTTCATTCTTTCTTCTCCAGTTCTATCTACCTGGAATTTCAACCCATCTCCCCTTCTGCCCACTGTCCTTTCCCTAATACATACTGCTCACTTTTCAATACCCAGTTCAAAGACATCTCTTTAATAATACGTTTTCTAGCCATCTTCACTTCCTTCCTTGTGCTCCTTTTTCCATCATAACACATATAACAATTTATCATATTTATTCATTCATATGATATATCTTAATTATCCATGCATTTTCAGCACCTGTACCTTGACACAGGGCAGGCACTGAGTAAATTTTTGAAGGAACAAATGAACATCATTTAAGGGACACATCTGTTCTTAAATGAGATATAGGGGTATATTTTAAATTCGTATAAATTTGTTTGGAATTGATAAACATTTTTCTGTAGTAACTAGTACATAGTTCTTGGATGCACAAAGAACATAGACAAAACATTGACTTTGAGACAGTTGAACTTCAACCTTTCCCATCTCAGTCACTGCTCTTCCACCTGCCCCATATCCTATCCCTTTCTAGAACCCAGAGTCCTCATCCCACTTATCAGAGATCCAAGAATTTGCTTTGTCATCAAAGAGTTCAATGCTCCAAATGAGAATCCCATTCAGTTCCCTTCATCAAAACTTCTTGTAAGGAATCTCAGTTTAGATGCTGAGATTAAGAAATCTGACTTCATAATTCACAAAGCATAGAAATGACAGAAGATATTGCCTGATTTTCCTCTCTGAAGTATTATGAAATTGGCATACTTGTCAACTCAAGTGAATTTTACACTGTAGGATTTTAAGCTGGATAAGTTAGTATAACAGTCCAGCTAGTGAAAGAATGGTATTTTGGTACAGAAGAAACAAGCCTGGATAATACAGCCAAGAGACTCCCTTTACCAACTGTCCCCAGGACTATAGGGGGACAGTCCCGCCTATAAGGGGACTCCCCTTTTACCAGAGGAGAAGTATTCAGGCATTTAAAACTCTTTTACATAGGAAGAAACGGATGCTCAAAGAGGTCAAGTCTTCAACGCCACACAGAGAATAAGTGACACAAGTGAGACAGAAATTCAGCTCCAACTCCAAGCATCTGTTGCTCTTTCTAGCACATTACATATGCCCCAGAGACATTTATTTCCTCCTCTTCTTGGCTGCTGGAGCCACAGACACCTGGAAAATCTTTTCTACAAGAAGTCCTCTAACCACCTCGGAGGCCCTGCCTCCAGCACAGCTGCACTAAGGGTGACAGTCCCAGAAGAAAGGCCTCTGTGCTAGAACGGTGTGGGGAGGGGACATGCGAGAAAGTGCTTACTTCCAACTTGACATCAGAACTATCAGGCCAGTCTATTGGCAGTGGCAACAAAGAGATGTATGTGTACAACCCTGGCTTCTCATTCAACCAACTTCCCATGGAAAGAGTAAAATATAATTGGCTTTTATTTTTAAACTAGTTTTCACAAATTTACTGTGTTATAATATTGATTCTATGAGGAGGAGAAAACATCCAAGATTCATGTCACTGATTTCTAAAGAACTTATGGAACAGATCTGTTAGTAAGGCAGGGACTCGACTTTTCCCAACTTTTCCTCCCTTCTTACTCCCCACCCCCGTATTTAAAATGATCTACTGTTACACATCCTGTCATGACCATAATATTCTCAATGATTAAATGAGCACGCTAAATTGACTAAAAGATTTAAATAGGTATTTTGCAAGTGATATGGCTGGAAAACCTTTGATTTCATCTAAAGACCAGGCTGTAATTATTTTAGGAGAACCCCGTGGATCTGATTTTATCATAATGCCATTAGAGACCATAGGGAACTCAGTATAGGTATACTTTTAGGTGTTTCTTCAGTCTTTGCAAAAATGGACTTAGATAAACTGTTGACTTAAGGTAAGGAAAATAAGACAGAAACATGGCTTCCTAGCTTTTAACTTCCTTTTCTTATAGTAAGGTGAACAAACGATAAATATTAACCAAGTTTTGCTGAGGAGTGGGGATTTTAGTATAAAAGATGAAAGGGACACAGGTCAAGAAAGGGAAAGAAGGAAGACAGAACAACATGGAGAACATCTCGACGAAACTTAATAGTCCCCTGTAGAAGTGTGCGTGTCCTCCTGTCCCTCCACTGTGGCTGGTACATACATCTGTCATGATTCCTCTAACAGATGTGTAGCTCTCAGCCTTCCTTACAAGTCTGTGAGCCCTTAAAAGCAGGAATGGTTCCTGAAGGAGGAGAGAGGGGAGGAAATGCCCACAGGCTGTTTGATGTAAAAGTAGGAATATTAGAGGTTTGGGCAGGAAATATAGATTTCAGGATGATAACACCCCAGGAGACCACATGGAGTGAGAAGAGTAGCACACAGTGGACAGGCACCCAGTGAAGGGGATTGGCCTGGAGACAAGTAGAATCAGAGGAGATCGGGGAGGGGAGATTATGCAACAGAGGTCCAGGAAAGTGAGAACCGAAGACAGTTTGCTGCACCCACCAATACTGAGGTTAACTGTGGGTTTTGCTAGAATAGTCTCAGTGGAAAGGGCCGAAGCCGCTTTGCACTGTGGTGGGAAAGATAGAAGATGAAGAAGTGTAGAAAACAAGTGTAGACCCCTCTTTCAAGTAGCTTGGCCAAGAGAGGGGATTGCTCATAGAAGACACAGGATTAGAAAAATTATTTTTTAAGGATAAGAGAAGACTAACCAAGTTTTTTAGCTTGAAAGAAAAGAGTTGATAGAGGGGGATCAGGGGAAGATTCAGTAGAAAGTGGAGAAAATAATCATGGACTAGAAAGGGAGAAGATGGTATGGAAGACCCTGTCATGAACAGGCACCTGCAAGTGAGGAGTGGCTTGGTAGGGATGCAATTAATAGTTAGAGACGGGGATGTTGAGGAGGTTTAATGAAGGAGGTGATACACACTTCTGAGGGAGTGAGGGGGTCAAAGGAGAGCAGGGGAAGACTCACACAGTTGCTGAGAAGGATTGATCCAACTAGTAAAAAGGCCTTGGGACAGAGCTGAAGGCAAGTTGGGACTGGCGGTCACGAATGAGCAGTGGCACCAATTCACCCTGCACACTCTCATAGGTCAAAGGGTACACAGTTCCACAAAGAAGGAAGTTCGCATTTCAATGCTCGCTTCCCTCTTATCTGTCAAGAGCTTATGTCCTTTAGCAGTGTATCCTCGCCATTTCATTTTATGTGCTAGTTGTGTTCTTCCTTCACCTCTTCTCTTCTTCCTTACCTCTCTCGTGCTCTCCAACATGAATGTATTTTCCCTCTTTGTTATTTTTTGTTAGTTTGCGTCATTAAGGAAAAATAAAACCATCTATGTGTATCTGCCGTTTCGGATGCCATCCTGTGGCATTACCATTACCACTGTGTTAGCAGTGGCAATGTTTAGGTCCCTGGGCTAGCAGTAGAAAGGGGTTTCAGAACAATGTCCCACAAGGGGTTTATTTTATTTTCAGGGGTCCAATCTGGCTCTGAAATTCTCCAAGTCTTCAAACGTTGTATTACTGCATGTCCATTCAGTCAAGAATGAATTTCAGGAGGAGTTGACTGTGTATAACATTCTGCCTCTGTGGTGGCTAAACAATTGTTTGTCATAGTCGTGAGCAGTTGAGGTGACTTTCTAGTTTAGAGCTCTCCTCGTTCGTTAATAGGTGCATTATGCAAACGTGGACACATTGCATCACTGTGAAGGACTTCAGACTGCGGTTTGCAAAAGCAGAATAAATTTTCTTGGGGTTGTACCGTTATGTACACACACACACACACACACACACACACGCCCACTGGCAGACACGGCCACACCTCACAGCTCTGGGGGAAGCCACAGACCTCAGCCGTACAAGCGGAGCCTAGACTAGAAGAACTTTCCGCAGTCCTGAGGACAAACAGCCCCGCGGCCGCGACGGAGTGCCGGCCCGGGCCGAGGCGGGCGCGGCGGCGGCAGGTACGCGGTGCGCCCGCGCCAGGGCCCGAGCGCGGTGCGGCCGGAGGGTCCCGCGCGCTGCACAAGTCGGTGCGGTGTGCGCGCGCCGACCGGCCCGGGCGAGCCGCATCCCCGGCCGCCCTCGCAGCCTCCAGGCTCCCGGCAGCCGCCGCCCCTCCCTGCCGGCCTGGGCGCCCTCGGGCAGCCCCCGCCGCCGCGCCGGCCGGAACATGGCTGCGCGCCCCGCCGCCACCCTCGCCTGGTCGCTGCTGCTGCTCTGCTCGGCCCTGCTCCGCGGCGGCTGCCGGGCGCGCTTCGCCGCCGAGCCGGACTCGGAGGACGACGAAGAGGAGCCAGCGGTCTTCCCCGAGTCGCCCCTGCAGAGACCCACGGTGCTGGTGGCCGTCCTCGCCCGCAACGCGGCGCACGCGCTGCCGCACTTCCTCGGCTGCCTGGAGCGGCTGGACTACCCCAAGAGCAGGATGGCCATCTGGTGAGCGCGGGAGGGGCGGCCCGCCAGCGGGGACCGCGGCGGCCGGGGGCGAGGGACCGCCGCGGGCGCGCGGGAGACCTGGCGCGCGCTCCCTCGCCGCCTGCGGGAGTCCGGGGCGGGGCAGGCGGTCGGGCCGGCGGACGCGCTGCCCGGTGTGCGCGAGGGGCGCGAGGGCATGATAGCCGGCCCACCTGAGCTCGCGTGGGCGGTGTGGGGACGGGGTGGCACTGTGCCTCCTTGCCCTGCCCCAGGCGGCCTGGGGCGACCCTCAGGAGGGCTCTCAACTCTCTCCCTTTCAACTCTCAGGGTTTGCTCTTTCCCCATCTCGCACCCCTGGCCCTGAAGGGCCTGGATAGAGTGCCTTTCTCCGTCTCCCTCCGGACGCGACAAGTGGAACGTGACCGCGCCGGCAAGGGGGCGCAGGGGTGCGCGGCGGCGGGGGGCGTAGAGTGCGCTGCCCTGACTCCCCGCAGCCCTGCTGCGCTGCCACCACACAGGCTGGCATGTGGCTCCTGGTCCTCCAGGGGGGCTGGCCCCAGGGGTGGAGGTCGGGCGGGGCCGCGGAGTCTCCCCAGTGCGCCAGCGGGTGGGCCCCCTCTCCTCCGAGCGCTCCAGCCTGTCCCGCCCGTGCACCCTCCTGGGGCGCTTCCCCCGCCGCCTTTGCAAACCGCGTGCAGGGCCCCTTTGGGGCGCTGAGTCCTGGGGAGCGACGGAGCCGCCCTGGGAAAGACACACTGTCAAGTTTTGTCCTCAGAAGAAAGACCTCTGGGCCTGCGGAGAGGCTCAGGGGGTCCGTGGGAGTGGCTGCCCGCCCCACCTGTAGCACTCGGTCCAGTCTGGCCCCTTTTACAAACGCAAGTACCAGAGGGAGACGAAGTCGGCGGCCGGGCGAGCTGTTCAGGGGCCTGCGGAGGATAGGGCGGACGCTGGCCAGGGGAGGTGGGCTGCCAGGTCCCCGGAGCGAGACAGAGCCCCGGTCACTCTGGAGCACTTTCCTGTTTGTGTCGATAAAGGGAGCTGTTCCCAGACAAGACACATCCTTAAAGCAGCGGCGGAGAGGAGGAGCGAAAGCAGCAGCTGGAACTGGCCGCCTTAGGTACCTGCAGGAGAGGTGTGAAAGCAAACATGTGGTGTATAGCAGGCGCTTCCCCTACTGCCTCCGCGGAGAAGGGCACATTATGTGGAAAGTGGGAGCGTTGGTGCAGCCAGGTTTTAAACCAGAAGGAAGGATTTTTTTTTTAACCACTTCAGTACCAAAAAAAATTTTTCACAAATGTTAGTTATCTTAGTTGCTTTTCAAAAGAGATGTCTTACAATAGGGTCGTGGCCTTTAATGCACTATTTAGTTTTTAAGAACATTACAGTATTTACTATAAGAAGTTAGCGAGGGGTGAAACAGGTACCAAGCTTTGCTACCTAATTTACAGACATCACCTCCTTTATCACACAGGAAACTTTTCAGAGGAGTGCTACGATCCTTACTTTAGGAACGAAGAAACTGAGGCTTGGGTCATTTCAATAATTCACTTAAAGTCACAGAATTAACAAATGGCAAAACTGGAATTTGAACCCAAGCTTGTCCCTAAAGATTGCCCTAAAAAGGTAGTGGTAATGGGAATGTGACATAAATAAAACTTATATTAACCTATAAACTACAAATTAGGAGTCTTGAGTTATTTATCACTAGCTTGGCGATTTGGGGCTGGTTGTTTGGGATGGATAGGCATCAGTTTCCTCATCAATAAAATGAGGGAATTGGAATAAATTACTTCAAACATTCTTTCTGTCTCTTGAATTTGATAGATTTTACAATATGACTAGGATCAACTAGCATCAATGTACATCCTAAATTTCCTGGATGTTCCAGATTATATGGACATTGGTGTTCTATTTATTAATATTTAGATGGGTAGGTTTCCAATTCAGAATAGATCTTTGGAATCTATTTTCCTTTATGGCCAGTGTTGGAAAATTAAAGAAGAATCTCACAGGCCTTTGGCAACCTTTAAATTAGTCACTGAATATTCTTCTTTGAAAACTATTGGTTATGTCTTAGAAACCCTGTATAATTTATTAGGTTATTATTAGGTATTGTTATTATACAAACGCTAGTTTCTAAATAGTTCTTTACAGTTCTCAAAGTATTTTCATCAACTGTGTTCTCATTTGATCCTTACTGCCATTTTGTGAAGAAATAAGATTGTCTCTATTTCATGGAAGAAGAAATTGTGTCTAAAGTAATTGACTTACTCAGGATTACACTTATTTATTAATTGCACGAATAATAAGAACTCACGGTTCTTCTAAGAACTTTACATTCATTTTCTAGTTTAATCTCCATAATGATTCTATAAGGTATGTAGTATTACTTTACTCTTTTACAGATGGGAGAGCTGAGGCACAAACAGGTTGTACAAGCACATGCTCCTAATAACCTTTTTTTGTAAGAACCAGTCAAGTTAGAGGTGAAAAAAAGTTTAGTAAGATATGGTTCCTTACAGACAAATATGGCTCCTTTTACTGGGTAGTGTGAGACGATCTGAATGGCATTTAAAGAGTTTGGGGGAGAACCAAAGGATTTTAAATCATTTGTGTGGTCATGGAAGACTTCTTGAGGAGTTGACATTTATTTTGAACAGAGATTTGAAGGATGAATAGAAATCAATTAAAACTTGGGAAAGGAAGGTTCCAGAAATAGGGCACAGCAAGACAAAATATAGTGCTGGGGCATTTACCAGAGTTTCCTCTCAGGGGAGCTAAAGTGAGTGACAGGTCTAATGATGGCAAGTCTCCAGTTGTATTATACCATAGGGTCTCTTCACAAATACTGGCTTCTAGACTAGCACCAGGGGAATATTTGCCTGAGAAAGTTATGGGATATAGCCTTCCAAGGGAGCAGTACCTCAGTTTAGGATGTTACAGCTTTAAGGGGTTTCTGCCAATTGCTTACCTCTAGTTTCTCATTCCCAAGCTCTATTTAACATTCTGAGATGCTAAACTGACTAGAATCTACTCTGCAAAGCCACCACATGCCAGTGTCAAAAACTACAGTGAGCTATCAGAACTTTCCAAACAGAACTATGTTGTATATAGAGCCTGGGGTGCCAGCTTCCTTTGAATCTGATCTTAGTAACTCACTCTGTGCAGACTCCCTCTTCTCATTCGTCCACTTACCTCTACGAAGAGCTGGAGGAGTGCCCAATAAGACTTCTCTTCTAGATGGGTCACTGGGGGGCCTGGCTCACTGATTACATTCAGACTTCCCTAGGATATGATATTTTTTCTTACCTGGACCAGTTCTGCACTGCACATATAAATGAAATGAGTACCAACAAACTGACCTGAAATATTCTGCTAGCAGAGAATGTCTGCACTTAGTTAGTATCAAGCTTATTCAGATTAGGATGAATAAAGGAAAATTTATATTTTGGAGATACTTTATACCAGCAAAAAGGAAAACTTTTTACATTTACTGGTCTGATCTCAAAATCCACCAAACTGATTATTTCTTTCAAATATTGCAACTCTGTGATAAAGAAGATATTCCTTGTGCCATAAATCAAAACCAGCACTAAGTTTATGAGAATCAGCCTTATACTGAGATGGAGGGAACTGAGAAGCGTTGTGACATGTGGCAGTGGGTTCTCTTTAATTCAGTGGAGCCGTGAGCAAGTGGCCTTAGCAATAGAGAGAAGGCTGACCTCATCCCCCTTCCCAAAACTATGATTAAGGGGAGTGGGGCCAAGTACCATGATAGTGAAAACTGGAGCATGGCATGGGGGAAACATTTGGTCCAAATGAGACATTAAGATGAGGCAGTGAGACATTGCCTTTTGGAGAGCCTGCTGTCGCTTGTGGGCAGACAGTTGGGATTCACAGAGTCTGTGCAGGCGCAAGGCAGTATCTGCTGTGTAATTACAGAATGGTTTGAGTATTTCATTTGGTAGAGTTTTAAAAAGTAATATGCTAATCTGGGAACCATTTTATGGATTTTTAAAGAAAAACATGAGTTTAGTTGATGCAAACATAAACAGTGATGAGCTTCTACTGGTTCTGGGTTACTGGTCCTAACCTTTTGCACCCTACTTTATTTCTGCATTGCTTGACGATTATTTTGAATTAATCTCCACATTCTAATGCCCAACCAGTAGCATTCTGGTGAATGTTTAACTAGATACACTAATAATACATGTTTTTATATGATGTTCCTAAAATGTGATACTAATGATAGTTTTTAGCACCAGCGGTGAGAATGGTGTCATCATAATATGTCGTCATTACAGTCTTGACATTAAATGCTGTACATCGTCCCTATGGACAGAAGTTCCAGCTTGTGGCTGAAAAAGTAGATAATACTTTAGTCCTCTTTTTTCCATTAGTCTGTTTTCCTCACCCTTCTCCTCCTTTTCCTTATTTTTCCCAATCTGGTAGTTTCGTACAGAGAAAGAGTATGCAGGCTTAGAGTCACATAGATTAGGGCACAAATCTGTGTGATTGTGGGCACGTTAGTGAGCCTCTGAGACATAGCTTCCTCATCTGAAAATGACTAGTAATAACACCTACCTCAAAGAGTTACTGTCACAAGTAAGCGAGATAATGTATATACAATGTCTTTTACATAAATGCTACTAAATAAATGATAGTTGCTATATCCTATCAATCTTTTCCTTTCTGTCCCATCTCCTTTACCTTTCTCTTTCAAAATATTTTTTTAAATGCTCAAAAAGAACTTGATTTAGTTTCTTCTTTCCAACAAAAAATTATCAACATAATGAAAACTAACATTTACTTTTCTAAACACTTTGGTATAACTGATTTACTCTAGACAACAACCCTAGGTGGAGGCGCCATCAAATTCCACTCTCACTTTATGCAGGAGGAAACTGAGGAGCACAGAAAGTAAATAATTTGCCTGAGGTCATGGAGCTAGTGCATGGTGGAGCCAGAATATGACCTAGGCAGCTAATGTCACAGACTGAGTATGGATGGTCTGTTTAAGG